GTCATGTGCACAATTTGTGGCACTTTCGGCATTTTGGTCCTTTGGGGGATCACTCTTCGGCTCGTTCTGCTGCTTGTATTTCCCGCTGTGTCCAGCTGCTCCCGTCCGTCGACTAGCAGCCAGTGCTGTATCTTCAGGCTAAAATTTTACCTCCTGCAGTAGCTTTGTTTTTATTGCGTCCCCGGTAATCGGCATTCCCGAGTTCTCCAGAGCCATGATCATCGGACGATATTCGTCGGGGAGACCAGCCAGCAGCAACGTTCCTATCCATTCATCGGAGATCGGGAAATTTATTCCGTTCAGTTGATGAGCAGTGGTCTCAATTCGGTTGACGTAATCGTCCATTGATGAGCAAGCAGACAGCTCTGTTTTTACCAACTTGTGCAGTAATCCGACCCGTCGCGTTAGGCCTGTGTCATCGAATGCACTTTCCAGTTTGGCCCAAACTTTCTTCTTCGACATAGTTAACGGGGTCGAGCAGCAAAATGATTTTTGCTCTCGCACGGCGATCGCAAGCAGCGTCAACAGCTTCGTCGTTGCCGTCCTGCTTCTTCTTCGGTTTCCCAGCGCTCCACGTGGGCCAGTTATCACGTCCGGTGAGCCGCTCGGTTCTCGGAAGGCTGGAGATGTTGTGGACTACTGATCCAGCGCCACTACCCGATACTCCAGCAGGGTTTCCGGATCCGCTTCCAGGCATGTTTACCACTCGCGTACCGTAAAAAAAAAGCTTTTTTACACTACGAATAAACTTTCGTGAATAGGCCCATAACCTATTAAAGAGAGAACACGTGCAGACACGTCCGTATTGCAAATCGTTTATTTTAGAATTGAAGGGAAAAGTACAGTACGGGCAGAGAATAAATAGTTCTACACGGTGAGCGTAAACTACACAGAGGTTGGATAAATTCTAATCTGCCACAGATATAAAGAACAGATGAAGCACAGCTTACACTACTATCTCAACAGGAACCCCTATTGCGAAACAGCATAATCTCTCACACACTTCGAAATAATTCCGTAAAACTCCCGGTAAGAGAGTTCACAACCCTAGATTGGACTTATTCACAACACGATTATGCAAATGCAAAAATAGTACAGGCATCGAAAGCTTAGGTAGCCCTTATCTTGAATTACTAAAGAATTGCTAGAGCTTCTTGCAGTTCCCTTATTTCGTCTAAGGAAACTTTCGGGAAGGTTCAGCGACTTTCTAGGAAATTCCACGAACTATAGGGAACTGTAGTGAATTTTAGGAAAATTCTGGAAACTTTAAAGACGCTCCTTCGAAGAATCAGAGCAACTTTCAGAGAAGCTCATTGAACTTCAGGGAAGTTCTACAAACTTTAGGAAAAGTCTGCCAACTTCAGGGACGTTTTGTGAGCTTCAGGTGAGTTTAAGGTCCTCCTGGTAAATTCTACGAAGATAAGAGAGTTTTGTAAACTATAGCAACATTATATGAATTTTAAACCAAACCAAAGGAAGTTTTTTCCGCCGATCTTGTTTTCCGTGCTGAGCACCAATGCTACCGACGTGCCAGGAAGGCAGCTCCCACACCTGGACCCTACCTATCGACCCATCAACTCATGAACCGGGGACCAACAGCTTTACTTCCCATCCGAAGGAAGGCGTGATCAGAGATGTTATGCCTCAGAACATCCCGGCGGCGCAGACAGGGATTGAACCCAGGCCTGCTGAGGTGAGAGATAATCACGCTTACCACTACACCACCGGTGCCGTTTTTTTTAATGATGCTCAACAAAAAGGTCTTTAAAAGCAAAAAAAAAAAAAAAAAACATGGTCTTTAAATGCCCAGAAATTTGTGCAGGCTTTTGGATGGCCTGTTAACCACAGGGAAAATTTACAAACATTAGTTAAGTACTGTAAACTTTAAGAAATATCTAAGAAATCCAGGAAAAAAAATGAAAAACTCAAAGACGTTCTGCGAACTTCAAAGAAGTTGTAAGATCAGTAAGGAAAGTTTAAAGAATTTCATCGAAGTTCAACGAAATCAACAGGGAATTAGAATTTAAATGTAATTTTTGCTGTCTCATCGGGTCGTTGGTGGAACAACTTCCACTCCATGTCTTAGAAAACAGTTATGGTAGAGATAATTTGTTGCGATATACCTTTCTCTTTTACGCTTCCCTAATGAAATGTAATCAACGATATGCGCAGGTGGAAGGCATGAAAAATAAGAGTTTGCCACCTAAAAAAATACCGTGATTACGGCTCACGCATGTTACACTCTTCAAAAATCTACACGCGCCGTTCATGTATTTCACATTTGAATTGGCGAAAGGTGGCAAACACATTAATTTCAAATGTTCACTAAACATTACATGACATGGTTGTTTACGTCTCTTCTTTTATGTCAAAGACGGATTCCACCACGTGTAAATTAGTTTTTTCTAAGTTTGTTCAGTAATCCCTTCATTTAAACATATAATTTCATGCAAACATTACTCACATACTCACGGTTAATAATTTCGATGATTTTGTTAGGAAAACCTAACAAAATCATCGCTGTTGCCTTCCATGTTTGTTTTGACTCTTTAGGTACTCGTCTCATCCTTATAGTGCGATCCCGTGCAATTCATGTGTCATACACATTAAATACACTAGTAGGAAACAGTAGGGCAGAAATATATGGGGATCTCTTTGATTTCGATAAGGTAACACATAAAAAAAAGTGTGGTAGTATTGATTTCATAAGCAACAAAAACATATTATTTTTGTGTTTAAATCTCATGATATCCGTGTGAAAAGCACATGATTCTATGGTGACAAGTAATGAACGGTTTTTATATTCCAAAACACATGAATGGAACGTGTAATTTTTTTTTTGAGTGCAGTTCCGTTTGCCGGTATACACAATCAGTTTATGAAAATTGAGGTTCACAAATATCCAGAAGAAATATGTTAACAAGAAATTCAAACTATTTTGACAGTCAAATTGTGCGGGTGTGTAGAAATTTTTACATGTCTAACGCAGGTTTCTCCTGGGAAACGTCATACATGTAGTGAAAACCGGAAACTTCAGAATCTCTCCGAACCGGCTGACGAAATTAAGGATCACTTTGTTGCCAAAAGCATTAGAGCAGTGTTCTCAATCTATGTGTTGCGACCCATCAGTGGGTCGCTGGCTACCCCTTCAAATTGTTGATCATAGGTAATAAGATGGTAGAATTAAATTACTAATCTTTCTCTCTCTCTCTCTCTCTCTCTCTCTCTCTCTCTCTCTCTTTTTTTTTTTTTTTTTTTTTAGCGTTTTACCGTTTTCAGACCTTTATCGCGATTTAAAGCCTTTACTTTTGCCTTATTTTTCTTATAATCATTCTGCCGTTAAAAGTTGGCCTTAACTCGGTTTTTTTACATCGTTATGAGGTGGTTCACTAAGTACATTGAACTTTCTTTACCTCGATATTAAAGGGACCATCGAGTTATTGAATAACAATCCCACACAAAATCGCTATTACAGTAGCCATGAAATTAATGACTACTGTGGTTCTATAACTCAATATCGAGTTTGGGAAATCAAGTTGTGGAGAGTTGACTGTAGTTTTAATACTAGTTTTTTTTTTTAATGCTACTAATTCGTTTAGATAGCTCTTTCACAGTCTTCAAATAATGTTTTAACAGTTTGACCAATTTACCACAAATTTGTCGATGTTAGCCATTTTATCTTGTTATGCATTTTTGGGGTGTTTTGGCGTTTCAAGCCGTTAAAATATCATGGATTTTTAACATCATTTTGGTCTGATTTTTTTTTTTTTTTTGTAAAAATATTGTTTATTTAGTTTTTAATAATAAATAACACATTCAAACTGATAACAAATTAAATTATTCTTCTAGATTTAGAACAAACTCTAGCTCACCTACATCGATTCTACTATTAATATTGGCATTAATAAAGTTGATGTATTTTATGAAAATTTTAAGTAAATTGATTCTTGTCTCTGTTGCAATTGTACCCAGGATCGGGCGTAGAAGGTCTTCGAAAGTAGGCCTTTGCCACCCACCGCGAGTCATCGTCATCCTTCGTTGCACGTACGCCCATGCCGCGGTTACTCGGGGGCACTCACTGAACTTGTGTTGCAAAGATTCGGTAACCACCATGCAGTGCTGACAATGTGGGTCGTTTGCACGGCCGATGATGTTCATCAGTCTGCGGTGCTCCGTTTTTTCGTTCACTAACAAGTAGAGATCGCTGCGCTGGCTCGATGACAGTCTTCTTGATGAAATGTTTGCCCATATCTTCTTCCAGTTCAGGCCTGGCTGGTTCCTTTCCACTTTTGGTATCTCGGTTTGCTCCAGATAGAAGCGGTGAATTTGATCGCTGGTGGGGTTTTGTTCGATGTGGTGGGGATACAAGGAAAATTGCTGAGAGAGGAGTTTTAGGCAGGGAAGATCGGCAGGGAAAGGAATATTTTGGGCGAAAAGGGACTAATAGTGGGGAAGGGAATCGATCTCTTGAAGATGGCGATTGACGAGAAGCGCTTTGCACTTGATCGCTGGCAATTGCAGTTTTAGTCCTCCATGCTCTTTACTGCGCGCCAGCTGCTGCATTGAGACACGTGCTGCAAATCCTCGAAACAGGAAAGTCCCCATTGTCGCTGTCAGCTTTGCCGTGTGGATACATTGCGGTGGTTTTATGGAAGAGAGGTACCACACCTTCGCTGTGATGAAGGTGTTAAGTAATATTACCTTTTGCTGCAGGGTAAGGGAGCGCATGTTATGCATCCATATAAGCTGCCGAATTTTGTTGATTAGCGTATCCCAGTTTAGCTTCACCATCAGCCGCACTGAGTTTGCAAAAATAACACCCAGAACCTTCACCTTCTCTGTATTCTGTCCTGGTAGTCCTGGTATCAACAGTGGATCCCCATTGATGAATCCGACATCGATTGCCACTGTTTTATGGCGATTTAGTTTTGCCCCGGCAACGACTTCAAAGCAGTCGAACAGCAGAAAGATCCGTTCAATTGTTTGCGTTGATGTTGCTATCACCGTGATATCGTCAGCGTACGCAACGCAAAGATCACCGCCACACACACGCTCCACCCGTGTGAGGAGGGGATGGAGGTAGAGCACAAAGAGCAGCATCGACATCGGATCTCTAGGTCGAACGAGATCAGCTTCCCTTTCTGTTTTTTTGCGATAAGCTGGGCCACACGATCCTTGAGCGAGAGTGTAGCTTTTTGAGCGTCACTCAGAACTCGATGTATCTGCAGCACGCGTTCCAATCGGGCCTTCATCACACGGCTAAGAATTTTATAATCGACATTGAGCAGGCTAATCGGACGGTATGCTCTCGCTGTCCCATCGCCACCTCTCTTTTTGACCAGCACGATTGTGCCAGCGGTGAATTCCGAGGGGAGCTCATTCGTCATAGCCTCATTTATTACGAAGTACAGCTCCCAATAGATGACGTCGAATGTTCGTAGGTAGAACTCTACCGGCAGGCCATCGGTACCAGGCGATTTTCGTTTCTGCGATTTCAAATCGTCAATAGTGATCTCTGCCATTAGAGCATCGTTGGTTTCGTCGTTCTCAGGTACGACTCTCTCGTTTATAAATTTTTCTTCCCCAACCTGCCTCGCCTCTCCAGCCGCATACAGGTCCCTGAAGTATCGGAACATGTGTTGTTCGATCTCCAGGGAGCCTTGTATTTGTTCTCCTCGCTCGTTCTGCAGTTCTGTTATAGTTGTTTTATTCCTTCGTCTGTCGCCCAGCTGGAAGATGGATAAGCTCTCACCCGCAACGAACGTCTCGTTGAGGCGGATAGAATTTTGTGCAAAACGTCGCTGCAACATCAGCATTTGCGCTTTGACGCGGTTTATAGTCACCAGCATGGTGGGATTCTGATAGTACGCATCATATGCGAGTCGTAGCTGCGTGCACAGACGTTGGTGTTCAGCGTTATAGATGCTGAATGCTTCGCTCGACTTCCAGCGGAAAAATGACTTGATTTTTTGCTTCGCGTATGAAAGCCACCATGCCATCCAGCTGGGGAAATTCCTCCGTTGGCGGGTCCAAAACTGCCACCGAACTTGAAAATCGTCAATGTTTGCGGCAGTCAAAAAGTGAGGGCGGTGGGACCAAAAACCACTTCCTTGTTCGCGGCCGAGGTCGGGAAGGCAAATTCGTGTTGTTAGAGCCTTGTGGTCTGAAAATGAACATACGTGCGTGGCAGCGCTTCGCAGATGTTCGCATAGCCCAGCGCTGACATACATACGGTCGAGCCTGGATGCCGCATTGTGAGTGACGTACGTGGGTGCGGGGGATGTGGGGTACAGTTTTAACCATATGTCGTGTAGCTGCAGCTGCCGTACGGTCGCCTGGAGAGCTGGACTTGAGTTGGCACTCGTAGAGTAGCTCGGACGTAGCACGCAGTTGAAATCACCGGCAAGGATGACGTGTTGCGTGTTGAAGCGAAGGTAGTAAGCGATCGTGCCGTTGAAAAACCTTTCTCTTTCCGCACGAAAAGCTGTCGCCGATGGTGCGTAGACGTTGCAGAGCGTCGTATTTTGCACCCTCAAATCAATGAGGCGGCCATCCAGGTTTTTCTCGACATGCGAGAATTGTATGTGGTCTTTTAGCGCGATTGCCGTTCCCCGCCTCGCGTGATCCACATTACAGACGACGTTGAAACCAGGGAGAGAGAGCTCCTCATTCTCCACCTCCTGAAGGAAAACGATGTCCAGCTGCAGCGTTCGTACGAAAGACCGAAGTGCGTCGATTTTCGTTGCGTTCGTGATGTTGTTGATGTTGATAGTTGCGAGGTTATAACTGGAGAACTCAGCCATTAGGACGGTCGGTTACTCCCATCTCGCGTATCGTCGTCGTTCTCCACTCGAGGCTTCTTGCCTGGTGGACGAGTGCGGAGATGCCTTTTGGAGCTGGAAGAGCCGACAGATGAATCTGTCTCGTTTCCATCGGACTTACCACTAGCAGTTTTGCGATCCACTCCGCCACTAGCAGGGGGCTGTTGACCTGTAGAGGGGATCAACGGCCCGCTATCAGATGGGTGAAGCGAAGCCGAGGTAGAGGCTGACGTAGGAAAATTTTCATCAGTGACGACAAGGGGTGGTAACAACCTCTGTTGTTTTCGTTGGGGAATTTGTTTCGGCGGCTGAATACTTGCCAAGTTTGTGTTGGTTTGGTTGGCACCAGGAGTGACGAAGTTTAATATTGTGTTCGTTGGGTTCGCAGTGGATGCGGTTTGCTTCGTTGTTTGTGAAGACTTAGGTGATGGACTCATCTGCTTTGCGGCATCGGCATACGTCTTCTGCACGAGCAGTTTTTTTATTCTGCACTCAGGTAGCTCCTACGTGGATGTATTCCCGGCAGTGTCGGCAAGTTTGACGTTGCCCGAAATACGACACTTGTGTCATCTCCCCGTCTATTGTGACCCACGACTCAATGTTCCTTTCAACGATCATTTTCGCCATACGAACACCGGTTGAGATGCCAGGAAAATCGACTTCGGTTCCACTTCGCTGCTCTCGTACTGCGATGACGTCACCGTATCTTCCTAGGAAATCGGCGATTTTTAGGTCCGACACGTCCTCGGACAAATCGTACAGCCTCACCTCCACTGCTCCCTCCTCCAGTGTGATTCTCAACGGATACTTTTTCCCGTCAACTGTAATCTCGTGCTTGTTGTCGTGTTCCTCGCAAATTCGTTGCGCCAATGCTAGGTCGACAACTTTCACAAAGGAAACACCGAGGGTTCTACTGTTTTGGATTCGTAGCACTTCACCTTGCTTCAGACCTAATATGGTCGCACAGAACTTGTGCACTTTGGCATTATCCGGTTTCTTCGGCACGTTCGCAAAATCTATGCCAAAGGTGTTTTCTCGACGGCCCATCGCGAAGTCGTTTGGACGCGGAGCGACACGGAACGGCTCAGCGATGAGCAGAGAGAGAGAAAAAAAAACACAGTTGGCACTGGTAACTAGCTTGTGTTCGACTTCCACAGAAGAAAGCTCGGAAGTTGAGCGCTCACTATATCTAATAACATCTTTATCTAATATTGGTGGGTCGCGAGCTTATACAATTTCTACACGGGAAGACGTCCGAATCAATTTTTATGATTAAATATCATGAAATGAAAAAAACGTTATATGCCATGAAATCATAACAATTATAAAAGTGGGTCGCAATCGAAAAAAAAAGTCAAGAATGATCCCAATTGGGTGGCTGCCGCAAATGCGACTCGGCATGCGCAATCTGGATTCGCTGGTCGCCATTGTTGATAACATTGCTTGATATACGTGTAATTTTGGAAGGATGCAATTTTGATCATCAACTAAAGGTTTTGGACAATATGGATGCTATGATGAGACATTGTTTCGGTGATGAACTCATGGATGAGTGCATAGGTCTTTTTTTGTGAAAGTTGCCCGAGCAAAGTCTGAGATCAAATTGAAATCTAAATTTGATGTTGTGATTTCGCTGATAATGATTACTCAGGTTGCTGTCGTTTTGGTCGTTTTAACGGTTAAAATATCAAAATTGAGAGCAAAAAAATCCTTCCTGTGACATCACATTGAAAACTATTTCTGCTATCAGTGAGAGCAAACTGGAAACTCAATTTGATATCCATTTTTCCTGTTGATAACAAAACAAGTATTCAATTTGATGTTATGCTAAGGCAATGAAAACAAATCCACAACAACATATTTTTGAAAAGCAAATGTACAGCAAAATGAAAACAAAATTTGTCAATTGCATTTACTGAAATCAAATTAGGATTTCAGTTTGATGTTGATATCAAAACTTGATATCAATTTGCTGTCATTTTGATGCTGGACTTTGCTCGGGTGGTCTACCGAAACCTCCGGTAGCCCCGAAATTCCATACTGTAAAATGTCAACTAATAGATGTTTGCAAGAGTTTAATTATTTTATTAATTTAAACATTCTGAGGTCATAAAAATACTACGATATCTTACGGTACCGAAGACTGAATCTTACTTTACCATTTATTATAGTATTATAGTTTATTATAGTATTTTGACTACTTTAATCACTTTTGAATCATTGTCAGCTGAATTTGTTTCGATCCGTAACAGTTTTGTATAGTCAATAGTCCATATACACCTACATAAACGGCTAAGTGTACTTCAAAACACTTTTTCTCAAAAAACCCAAGATGAAATATTTTAAAACCTTCACAGATTTGATTGTTAGGATCAAAACTAAATTCCTGTGAAGAAAAAACTTAGGTACAAAAAAGTTGTAAAAAAAGTGCGTTCAGACATGGCGTGACCACAACACAGAAAAAAATTCGCGTGATATGTACTTTAGTATAATATTTAAAGCATCGGCATCAACAACGAAATTGTTTATAAGCTTGTATGAATTACTGCTGGTTTATGCAAAATCGCGCTTAAATTTACCCGAAATATGGTGTAAATTTACGGTAAATCTAACGTTAACAACGTGTGCGCTATATATCGCGGAAATTCACATTAATTTGTCAAACGGTGATCTTTGCAATACATGTATTCTGGTTGTCTTGGTAATCATGTCATATGACGCCCTATTATTCAAAAGAAAAAGTCAATGTCCATGCTGTCACGCTGCATGCATCACATCGTTTTGTAACTCACTAATTTGCACAACACGGTAGGTCGTTTACCAAAGTTGACAGCATTTTCTTCCCATTAACCTACTGAACCATCATCGTTACCGTCCTTATCCCAGCCACTATTATAAGCATCCTACACTTTTGCAACGACTGACACCGTGACAAATGAGCCCAACAGCAGTGTGCTCTCAGCGGCACCTGCTGCACCATCATCAGCATCATCATCATCATCAGCGTCATCCACCACGTCAAGTAGGCTTTCTCGTAAATCCCGGGCCTTCCTGCCTTTCCGGCCTTGGTACCTACGGAATTCATTATTTTACGAGACCATGGAATTCCATCTTGGGCTGTTCCATATCCCGTGTTGGATTCATGCACTCGTCGCTCCTTAACGACAAAATGTGGAAGAAACAGAGCCTCACTATACGAGGAGATGTGTCTATTAATATCTATTTAATATACGGTGACATTGACAAATATGTTGTGCCAGATTCTCCGTTTATTTTTTCTACCTCGCAAAACTAACTTGCCTCTACCCCCCCACAATTCACTTGAAGAAAGTTTTTGCATCGTCGTCGTACATCACACAAAGACACACATCCTGATCTGACGTGACTTCGCACGCTCCTTCCATCCCCAAAATCACTTCGGTCATCAACTGCTCTGAATGACATATTCCGGAAGCCCCAGACTCAGACGGTTTGTCCTCTCGTTCCTGTTTTCTTTTTTTTCTTTTTGGTTGGAGGAACACAAACAGCGTGCAAAACTTGGGTGATTTGTTTTGATTGATGGTGTTATGACCCACCACGTATACGTGTGCCCGAATGGCCCTCGAGCGAAAACTTTTATCCTTCTCCTGGGGATGGGCGATCGATACGGGAAATGATATTTCTCGGAATGGATGGATATATGGTTTGAAGGCTTTCGGTGTTGAACTTTCTTGATGAAAGCTTAAATTTGGTCCAAAGGAAGAATTTTACCCATCACAATTGTTTGTGTAGTAAGAGCTAGTATTTAGACCTTTGCAATCGAAACATGCCGTAAAATTTGCGTTATCGGCAGAGGACTGCATTTATTGGATGAGTCAGATTGGACAGGTCTGCTCGTGGGACAATAATGGTTTTGAGCTGTTGTGTAAAAGGTGTTAAAATTGAAATAAATTATAAAATACTTAAAGCAGCTAAATGAAAGTTATCCATTTCAAAGTACGTAAAACTTTTGTATACAGTTAATTATCCGCCAACTCGTTTTCTCATTCACAGAAAACTTCTCTGCCGGAGCTTGAATTTCACCTTTGATGCCTAAATGAAACGGCCAAGTTATATGTTCAACATCAATTTGTTAATTAATCTTCTCTTCGCCCACCCTAGTTGATCTGCTTTCCGCTCAGGTGTTAGCCTGCCGTGCTGTGTTACAGTTATCCTACAAATTTCGCAAGTTTGATTGGAACTTTTTCCGATATAATCCCGATTTAGCCTTCTCCTTTTACCGGCTTTCACTTCGACCACCGAGGAGATTGACTTTCCGCCTGGAAGTGTTTCTCTTCTCATTTTGCATGTAAGAGTGGCTTTAACTGACATAACCCCAGGGCTGCAAAATGCGTGTCGATGCATGTTGACATGGCTAGTTCTCAGCAATGCAATGACCAATCGTTATAATTCAGCCACCAATCGAAAGATATGGCTATCTAATTTTATTTTGAATAGATATAAACCCATTTGGACCTGTAGTTGGCCAGCCGGAACGAAAAAACCCGGAAAAGTCCCGAGCAAAATGCGTGTCGATTTATGTTGACATGACTGGTTCTCGGCAATTTGGTTACCACATCTTAAGATTGAGCCACTACATGAAAGGTATGACTATCTACTTTCAAACGGAACAGACAAGGAACTGATTGAAGTTGTGGGTAACCAATCGGAACGATAAAACCCGTGAAAGATGGCTCTGTGGAAATTCGGATTCACCGGGAAAATTGTCAGACCTAGAGATCCGCGATTTTTTTCCTAAATTGCATACAAGCATTAGCATAGAGATAATATACCATCACCATATCGATTCTGCTACCGGGTGGCCATAATACGGTCCTCTGGATATCTGGAATCGCCTTGAAAATAGTCAATTCTTAAAAGTAGACCTGGAGATCCGTGCTTTTTAGAAACTGTGAAGAAAAGATATATCTCAGTAACATATTGATTTGGTCCCCCGGTGGCCA